TAATTTATGGCGTTGAAGTCCGCAATGGTTTTAAACTGCGATAAAAGTGAATTTGGATTTATATTCCGCTGTATGTGTCATTAAGTTTCAGTGGGCCGACCGTCACACTGTCTGTTTGTATCGCAGCGTAGCTTTAATGAGGTGCGCCGTGTGTGAACTGAACGTCTTGTTAAAAAGTCGACATCCAGATTCACAGCATGCGAGTGCTCTCACTCAGCAGACCCGGCAGGACACCGCGTTTCGGCCGCAACCCAGAGCTGTAATTTGAAGACTCTACAAAGACAGGCGGAGATTACACACGCTGGTGCCATGATGGACAAGGTCCACCAGTGTCTCCGTCCTTCAATTATACATTAAAGGGAACGCTTCAACATTTTGAATTATAGACACCAAATGTTCAGTCAGGACTCCAGCGGCAACCGAGTCCCAGCCCGATTAACCTCGGCGCTACCCCGAGGGGTGAGAGCAGAGGATGCCGCTCACACCAGGGATAGATACATTTCAATACCAACAACTGCGGATTAGCAACCCAGATCACACACCGGCTTGCAATCTTCTGATAGCCACGGCAGCACCGCAGCATGCTGGAGTAGAAAAAAGGAAAGCATCAGATCGATAGCGGTATCGGCAGTAGTTGCAGTATCGATATCGGACAAAGTAGTATCAAGCCATCCCTAGGTTGAATTTCTAACCTGCTGATTTTTACTGTCCAGCTCACAGCGTCTGTGATTTTGTAAATAAAAACCAACTACTTTCCTTCTACTCAACTATTAAGCTTCAGGGTCTAAAAACAAAACCGAGACACGTTATATTTTATTATTTATTACATACTTTTTCCATCTAAAACGCAAATGTTTTCTTTCGGGTTCGTGTGCTACCTAATTTGCATGGGTTGCCATTTGGGACTCCGAAATATTTTCCTGCGTTAAATGCCAGCGACTCCAACCGGGAAGGAGCACAGCACATTATCAGCAGATGGACAAAAGGCATTTAAGACTAGGGTGTAGTGCAAATGACACATGGGATTCATTCTGCGCAACACAGAAGAACACAAGCCCTCTGCGGTGGGCAAAAAAAAAAAAAAAAAGCGTCAAACTGTGAAATCGAGAAAAGATATGTTTTTCAAATACCGGATGCTGGAGAGTGACACAAAGATAACATTAGTAATACAGCGATGGCAACACAATTAGCAGCTAACCAATGGACAAGTCTAGAGTAAAGATCGACCAGCTGGAGGCGGTCCAAGAACGAGATGGCAGGCAGCTGCTGGAGCCAGCTGTGTTGGGCCAGTTGTTCAAAGAGGTGGGGGGGGTGGGGTGGGGTGCGGGGGGAGTAGAGGATTCAGAGACATTTGGGATGGGGGCATAGATGTGACAACCAGATAAAGATGGTGCGGGCGGGACGGGGAAGAAAGGTGGAAGAGATTTCAGTTAAAAGCAAATGTGTGGCTCTGCCAGAACTCAATCAAGGCGGTGGGATTACAGAATGCAACGATTTTATCAGTTGAAATCAGCAGGCCAGACTTGGCTCGGTCAGAGGGTGGAAAAAATGAATGGTCTGCAATGGGCGCCAGTTGTTCACTGTTACATTAAGAAACCAAAACAAATCAGGGAACAGGGAATCTATTTAAAATAAATAAATGATTTTTTTTTTTTTTTTGGCACAGCAGCTAAATAATTTCTGCGATAAGCGGGATGCTGTACAGGGAGTTTATATCAAAGTAGCAACAACTTGGAGGCTTTAACAAAGTTTGGGAGTTGTTGTGATTAATTATGAAGCATTTCTGTCTTCATGCCTTCAAATGTCATCCTTCTTGTTATTTTACAAAAGTTAGAGCCACTTTTAACTTTTATAATTGTGATATCACATTCAAACCTAAAATAACCAAATGTCGTCTTTACATGCTTTTAAATGCTCTGTGCTGAATAATTTGGAACATACATACAGTATATGAATTGTATCGAAGAACCACTAGTCCTAAGTTGGTGAAGGCTTACAGTGACCCCTTGTGGAGTTCACTGAAAAGCGTACAATGCCTTGAGAAATCACTTTTTTTTTGTTGTTGTTGTTGTTGTTAAATTTGGATGACGACTGAGGAAACTGGGTTAAATTTAGATGAACAACAGACAATGAGGATACACAACTCAATATACCTCAAAATACCTTTACTAAACACAACAGAACACGTACCGTAAACTCCAAAGTGTCCAAACACGTGAGAATTTTGAGAGAAGACTCCTTTACGTTTAACTAGAGAAAAAAAAAGTGTATTTAAGTATAATTTGTAGTCTCTAATAAACCAGGGTATTTAACTATAATTTGTAGTCTCTAATAAACCAGGAAATGGGTTCATAATTTTATTTCATATATAAACTATTTGCTATCAATCACAAGTTGGTGAAAGTAAATAGCAGCCTTAGCACTAAACACTACTCCTCCCTACATAAAAAAAGTGAAAAAAATGGAAAAATTACCATCCATTATTTCTCATAGTTTCATAAAAGTTTCTACATTTAAAAGATAGTTAATAAAGTATTTCATGAAAACTATAAGTGGACGACATTACTACTTATTAGATCATCAGTAAGTGGAAGGAAAGTGGAATTATGGGATATAGAGTGCGCCTAATTATGCCAATGCATTAATATTTTTAATCAGATTAATTTCACGAATTACTTCCTGCGGTTGTAAAGCTAATTCCGACAGCCTGTTTTCTGAAAGAAAGTTTCTGTGGTGTCACAGGAACGGGATGTTTCACCAATGCACTCAAGTAGATAATCAAACTGTAATTCTGGTTGTGATTATAGCACCCCCTGCAGGGGA